GATTCTCTCTACTTTGAACGTCTACGAAGCCTTTTCCTCTTTCGAGAGCACGGAATGATCTGCTTTGTCATTCGCCGCGTTTATCTTTTTCCCCGATGCCCTTCGAGACTGCCCTCCACACCGGCGGACGCTGCCCTTGTTCCCTGCCGATCCATCGACGGCAATCAGTTCCTCATCGGAGTTATGTAATTGTGTTTTTATGGCGATTTACGCCGGCGCGCGAACAGCCTTGCCGTTTATGGCAGGCTGATCCGTTACGGTTTGTTCTGGGTTTACACCGGGTTTGTTCTGGGTTCCGAGAGTGTTGGTTTTCTAGGATTTTTGTTGGATAGGGAGATGTGCCGGTTTGTGACGAAGTGGATGGCGTAATGTAGTGATGAGATCTTGTAGGCTCAAGTATCATGAGTGGATGGTAAGATTTGCGTTGCTGCCGGATGCCAACTTACCAGACGCACACGGCATAGATTTTCCCTTTCTATTGTTTTTAGTAGTTCGCTTCCTTAGTTTTTGTTTTTATTTGAGATGTGTGAAGTATAGTTTCGTTCTTAGTTTTATGTCAGAAATCTAGAACTACTTTTGTTCGCATCACACGAAAATAAATATTTAGAAAGTGTTTGTAGTAGTTTTTGGACAAGTATTTGCAGCTTGTTTTTATTTCATATTTAAGTAAATGTTTACTGATTAACCAGTTTTTATATTGTTCTTAAACAATTGTTTTAGCATAATGTTTATAATGTAAAATACTTCTTTCCAAGCCTAAATATCAATACTTAAAAATGAATGTCGTATTCTAAGTTTGAAAATATCAAAATCATGAATGTACAAAATTGGTTAAATTGCATTTTTATTAATTTTCTATCAAAAAGACTATATATTGCTTGTGTTATTTTGTTCTTTATCAAATGGACTGAAGTTTTCAGAAACTTTTTACGTAATTTTTAAGTCTGCGGAGTCTGAATATGATATGATTTTCTTTGTTTTTGATCGAATAGTGATTTCATATCACACAATAAGTTTTGAGTTTCACATAACCTTTAAATTTCTCAATGTTCATATTACATTTACGTAATACTGTAAAAAGCAACAAGGAAAAAAACAGTTTTAAACAATGAACAAAATTATGAAAGGTAACTGTAAAATTACTTATAGTATCATTCGCATAATTATTATAAAATAGTCATCATTCAATCTATTTGAATTTTAGCGAATTTTAACCTAATTTTAATCTAAAATTTACATTTTAAATTTCAATTTTGTAATATGTAAACGGAACAGTGAAAGTGATTTCATTTCTTAAAGTTTTGTGATTTATTTATAAATATGGTGTTTATACAAGAACTAATATCAATTAATATCGAAGAAAGTACTGTTAACTATTTATAGTTTTTATAAGCAACAAGTTTCCATTTATTTCGTAAATAAATAACATTTCTAGAAATAGAAGATTGTTTTTCCAGTTTTGGCACTTGTACCTTTACTTATGTACACTTCACAATTAACGAACTAAACAAAGTAAAAAAATTGAACATTGCACAAAAATTTCATAATTTGTTAAAAAGATTATACACGTTATTTAGAAAAAAATAGTAAAAACCATGACTTAAACAGTAAACTGTCCTCATCATTTTTAACCTGTAGCTTAAAGATGCTATGAAAAATTCATATCTGTTATGATGCGATAATTTATTCATAATTTCTACGAACTCAATAGTACAAACAACTTGTCACATTGATTCAGTATTATAAATAACTTGTCACTCTAATACAACATTATAAACAACTTGTCACGCTAATACGATATTATTTGTCATATTAATGCAGTATCTACAACCTGTCATGCTAAAATGATATTTACTAATTTATATGATGTATTCCTACTCAGTTCTAATATTCTATATAAAACATATTTCTAGTAAATTCTGAAATTACGCGGTTCGAATCAAAGTGATTTCCACAAACAGGTTAGGTAGCATGGTCATCTACAGCGATTATAATGATAAGACGAATATAGATAAAAGAGTGCTCCGAAATGGACGAATTAGGTGAAACATTTAACTTCTGGAATTTTTTCTGATCTGATTACGCAAAAAAAGTTGCACATGTAATAATCGTCGCAGTTAATCGAACAACGGTATTTCGAAGATAATCGATTTAAAATCAGGTCGCTCATCAAAGAATTTTTCCAATCTCTACAAGATCTAGGAATTACCGAAAACAATTGCGAAAGAAAAAATGTTATTCCTTTATCTTCGTGTTCATCTTACAAATCCATTGCTCCGCGAGTATAAATAAAGAAAAATGAAAATTTGATCGCCTGTCGATGTAAGACCATCGTTTTGTTCAGATACGCACGAAATGCGCGACATGCTTCCGCTCGAATCGTCCAGCACAGAGGCAGAGTCTAGTTTATAAGGATAGATATTTGCTTCGACAGATAAGACAAGCGATAACTGCATACACTCGTGTCTCGAATCACGGTATCTCGAAAGAGATTTTCCACTTTATATCTGAATTTTACAACATGTAGAAAGATGGCGGACGGTAGGTACAAGCATGACGAAGCAATTTACGAAACGGTTAGCACGTATCCTAACTCCCTCGTCTTCTCGTACATCAAAATTACATGGTAGGAAATGTATTCAGAACCCTAAATGACACCTACTCGCTCAAATCGCAAGAAATCAAACCACTGCACGGTCCCAAGCGCGTCCGCCGGAGATTAAGCAGCACGCATGAGAATTCAAGACGACAAACGTCAACGAGAAGGAACAAATGATAATCAAAAGGTGCGCGAGGCTCTTGGAGCACGGGACGTATCTGAAGAGGGAAGAAGGGAAACGCGAAGGGTGCGTGTGACCGAGGGAGAGCCACGTTGGTGTGCCCGTAGGAGGGGCAACGCACGGTGCCCTGGAGGGGCGACAACGGCGAGTGGGGTGTAGATGAAGAGAGGTGCGTCGACGATACGGGACACAGGCGAACCTGTGACTGTTCCGGACAGAAAAGAGAGACATAGGCGTGAGAGATCGTGGCAGCAAGGAAGAAGGACGGAGCGTCAACCGATAGCGATATGGTAGGGATATCGGAGAGAGAAATAGCGGGTCGCCCATACAAGAGGGGAGCTGGACGGGGCAGAATACAGGCGTGAGAGATCGCGCAACGGGGCGAGTTCGAGCGAGAGACCGAAAACACGGACAAAGATAACGTTACAACCCCGAGAGAGACGAACAAAGATAACGTAACAACCCCGAGAGAGACAAAACGCGTGGAAGCAGTGGGGAGCGGTCGTGGGAGCGAGCAGGAGGGTAACTATGGTAGCCAGAGGGATGAAACGCGGGACAGAAACGCGGGCGGAGGGAGCAGGAAAGACATCGAGGGAGATAATAAGAGCAGAGTGGGAGAGCAGAAGAGAGAATGAGCGGTTGGAGGGGAGTAAGAGCAAGCGAGCCAGGGAGAGGCGCAGTCAGACAGTCAGGCAAGCCGCCCGGCAAGCAAGGAAGGCAGGCAGGCAGGCTAGCAGGCAGCCAGTGCACCAGCCAAGACCACTAGATCCGCTCGGCTTACCGACTTAGAGACTTAAGCCGGCAGGCAGTCCGAAAGGCTCAACCGGCTAAGCCTGGCGGACCCACCTACTACCGACGCGCGGCCACTACACGTTCCATCTACTACGAAAACCGGCTATACTACCGCGACCTGCAGCACCACTCGCGCTTTCTTACGCTTCCTCTGTCTGTCCCTCTCTCTCTCTTTCTCTATCGTGTTCTCTTTTACTGTCCGTACGTCGTTCCTTAACCGGCCGCCGTTAAGGTGAGAAGAACGAACTGCGACGAGCGTTGCGGCGACGTCCATCTACGACGTTCCGTTTCATCGGGATGTCTCGCGGTGACTTTCGATCGGGAGGTAGTTCGTGGCCGGTATTCGCCGATTCGTGAGACGCGCGGATAAATAATCCTTTGGTGCCGTGAACCTAATGAGTGACCACAGTCCGAGGTGTTCCCATTGATCCCGCGGGTGCTGAGCCTGGATAAGTAAGTTCTTTGTGATCTACCGACTGGGAAGTGTGCAGTGACGGGATTTACCACGTTTCGCGAACATCATCTTCGAGAACAGGCTACTTTGCCAATCGATAGGCTGACGACTTGGACAAGTACCGACGCTAACGTGGATCATCGAGTACACGAGGATTTAAGCGGTCGATCTGTGATTTGTTTAACGCGATCAGAAGTGGGCAATATAAGTAGGGGCACGCGAGGACCAGCTAGGAAGAGTAAATAACCGCGGTGTATCTACGACGACCATAGTGCTGTTTAACCTACTTTCCAGATTCTAAATCTCCCACTATTCACATCTCTTGATCTTTACGTAACGCAACGTCGCTCGTCGTCGATTCGTGGTTATCTAATTTATCAGTTGCCTGTACCTAAGTGTCGGAGCACGTGTGTTCACCTGGATCTTTTGACGGTGTGGTCGGATTCGCGCGGAATTCCATGGAAAGACACTGCGTCGACCATTATCATCCAAATCTGTTCAGACATACGTACCTTCCAGAAAACGGCAGGAGTAATTCCGTCGAGTTCGAGCCAACGCGGAGCGACGGCACGTTTCGAACGTCTCGCAAACTTGGCCTCTGACGAGCTGCCCATCTAATTACCACCGAAACTTATGACGACAACTGCTAGAAGCGAACAATTACTGGTGTCATCGAGCTTCCGTTGATTGAACTCCTCTTCGTCGACGCAAACAACGAATGTCAGCGTGTTTGATAGCGGTGCAAGCGAACATCTGCCGACGGCCGTCGCCAATGGAACTATTCAACTAAGGACTATTTAACTAGAAGAAACTGGTCCACGAGCCTTGTCCCGAGTGCCCGCAGGAAAACTCTTCGGGACGCAGCAACGTCTCGTTCGACGCGATATCACGCGGTGTACCTGGCCTCACGAAGGCCTAGTTGATCTTGCGTTGCGTTGTACAGATCAGTCAACACGACGTTAACATTCTATAGTATGGAGCAGGGGGGCGGTGGCGGGGGGAGCCTCGAACTAGCTGTGGGTGGAGGCGGCGGCGGGAACACGGATTTGTGTCTTCAGGATCTCGTTACGGGATCGACGGCCGGTCTGTCGATCCAGCATCATCAGCACGCGCCCACCTCGGCATCCATGGTTGGTATACACGGTGATCATCTCCAAGGAACCATACATCATCATGATATCCATGGAAACTCGCACCATGATACCACCATGGTCCACAATTCCACCCACCAACTGCATCAGCCGTTGGAGAAACTTAAACGTGGTGAGTCGGACACAATACTGGAGCTTCCGTGACTTTGTAACTTTTGCGTCACGCGATTCGTTTGTGGGCTTTGTACACGGGGAGAGGAAACAGGGGAAATGTTTGATGCTATTGTGCTACACAGTTGAATGTTAGGTACGATGAGGATGCGAAGTCCTCCTTTCAAACTTAAACACTCGTGGTTAGGATTCCAAGGTGTAGTCAGGTTTTGGAACCGGATCGATAATTATGAGTTCGTGGGTAAAATAAGAATTGTGATTAATAGGTTTTGAGGTAATTTTGATTGGATTTTGAAGGGCGATGCCATAAGAGCTAAGGCTTGGACAAATATCTTCAGGTTGTTTTATGAGACTTTTTATTTCAATATACTTATTATCGAATCCTTTAAGTGTACAAGATAGTTTAAGAATAGCAGTGTTCAGACATTCTTATACGCGAAGACACCGAAACATTATTTTTAGCGATTGAAGTCAATTTTTATTTACTTTTTTTTGGAGAAAGGAATACCTCTTCTTCTAAAACTACGTTATATCTTTGTAACAAGGTATATTGTCTGAAAAGGACAATGAATATCTACACACATGCTTGTCATAGATATTAAATAATTAACGGAAATTACAAATTGTACTTCGCTTTCACAATAACTATGTAATTCTGTTTTTTATTTGGATGGCAACTATAAACAATTTTAATTAATAATTCAATTTTTAAGAACACACTGTTTAATGTCTCAGACCTCAAAGCTGATTGAAATTTTAAAACTCTTACAATAATTAGAAACTTGAGTTTTTAATTACTTGTGCGTTTAAGGCATTGAATAATAAATGTACTAAGATTGAGAAATCTTATCAACATCCGGAAATTTTGTTTATTTATTATGACAAGCAATCATGTATTACAGCGTTCTACATACTTATTACGTATTATAAAATAATCTAATCATTAGTATAAGTTTAACTTTTACTAATCTTCCTTCGAAACCTATAAATATTATTGCAGATAAAAAATCTATAGATAAAACACATTACTCTATTCCTTCAAATATGAGCATAAAAATAAATTGATTAGTTATATTATATTTGCTTTATCTCTAAATGAAACTGGCTGATTTAGAATCTAAATAAAAGTTCTTGGAATGTGAAATGTAATTTTCCTTATCTAGAGAATTATTTAGTTGATTACAACACACATAGAAAGTTTAAAGAATAGAACTATACTATCGCCATATATGTTGATTTTGAATATCATCGTGATAAAGATCTGTGTATAATCTGATTGTGAGAATCAATTTCCTTTCTCCAGAATTTATTCGTTCTGTTAATATTTGGTACTTAATATACACGTTTTATGCGTGAAATTTTAATATTTTGCAACTTGTATTAATTATTTGAAATACTATAATGTTAACATGCAATAGTGTTATGTGCAGGTAGACTTCTTTGAATAATAATTAAAGGTGCTTGCTCTTTATAAAGAAAATCAAGTTTCTATATTTTTATATTGCTACTTTCTCAAATTTTAATTTTTCAATTTCTATATCTTCAAATGTATAAATTGGCAGATTTTTTAATTTTTAAATTTTCTATATGACTGCATTTTCTCAAATTTTAACTTTTTAATTTTTATATCTTCAAATGTACAAATTGGCAGATTTTTTAATTTTTACATTTTCTATATGACTGCATTTTATCAAATTTTAACTTTTCAATTTCTATATTTTCAAATGTACAAATTGGCAGATTTTTTAATTTTTAAATTTTCTATATGATTTTTCTAAATTTTCTTTAAATCTCTACATTAGCAAGTTTTCGAATCTTCAAATCTCAAAATCTTTAGATTTCCACATTTTTAAATTATTAAATTTCCCAATGACCAAATTGTGAAATTTTCAAATCCCTAAATTCTGAAATTGTGAAATTATCAGTCTTCTTATTTAAAAATTTTTCAAATCCCAAATTTAAATTTTCAAATTCTCAAATTTCAATATTTTTAAATATTCAAATTCTCCAATTTCCAAATTTCTAAATTTCTAAATTTTCAAATCCTCAAATTCCCAAATTTCTAAACTTTAAGACTCCTATATCTTCATATTCCTAAATTTCCAAATTTGTAAGTTCATAAATTCAAAAATTTCTAAAACTTCACATTCGTAAATTAAAAAATTTCAGAATTGACCAAAGTCCAGTAAATCTCGACATTCTCTCTCCCCAAGTTGCCATTTTTCCCAGAAAAACCTACCATAATCCCATAAACTTAAATATCAATCCCAGTTATCAATATACATATAATTTCTTTATTTACCATGCCTCCGCGATTTTATTAAAATAATAACACCTAAAACAAAATTGCAGCAGAAACCCACATAATTCACTACTGATTTTTACATATTTTTTATAAAATAAATCCTCACGATCAAATTAAATTTGAACTGTAAAAAAATTATTACAAAATTTCGTTAACAGAAAAATATATAAATAATAATGCAAAAGTTATACACTCCTTAATTTTTAGCTAAATTGAAATATGCGGAACCTAACCTCTGCCGGAAACAACTTTCGGCAGCGTGACATAAACCGCACTTAATCACTCAATCGGAATTTTCACCGGAACAAGAGTTGATGTAATGCTTTTAGAAAGCTGCCATTAACACAAGTGGTTTAACTCGATTATCATTGTGTTTAAGCAATAGTAGCTTGTTTCGAGATTTGTTTATTATTTACATCGGTCAAGTTATATCCAGATTTGTTATCTGATCGCATAAATTACCGAAAACTGTTCAACTGGCGTCAATTCGGATTAATTCGAGTGCAGAATAAGCGTGTACGTGTTTGAAGAAGGCGTGGGATGTGTAACTGGTGTTCTTTTGTGTTTCGATCGAAATCCGATAAGGAGAACATTGCTTTCTCTGTGTCGTGTACAACGATAATCGTTTGTACGAGTTTGTCAATTCATGTGATTTTGCTGGCCGCGATATCATCGATATTCCATCATTCGTACGACAAATACTCGACGCCTTTTTGCTCTGAAATCGTGCACTGCGTCGTTTGTGTTATCGCGAACATCTCAGAAAATCTCGTATCGCTTGACACAGCAAATTTGCACGTACAACATTCGCGGAACAAGATTGATACGTCTACGCTGCTTTGTTTCCAACTTTGTTTGTTGCAAAATGAAAATACAAAAATTTGGTGACGAGTGCATTGTCCATTGCAAGTCGATTCGAATGCATCCGGTATGAATCACGTCCGTTGTTATAATATAGGATGAGATAAAATAAATTCAAGTGTAGCAGCCTCTTCTTTCTATAAAGTTAATTGCAGAAGTGAAGGTCGTTGGTATTGTGGCCTTTTAACAAGAAAATAATTCCGTTTGCCTTTAATGAGATTTGTTTAATTTTTTGTTTGAAAACTAAGAAGAGGAGTTTGGAATTAAGAGAGAATTTTAATAAAGAAAACTGTTATTTGCTTCGTGTTTAGTCAGAAAATTAAGAATTGCTTCTCTTTAGTAAGAAAATTCGAAATTGCTTAGTTTTTAGTAAGAAAAAAAAATTGTTTTAGTAAGAAAAAAAGAATTGAATTGGTTTTTAGTAAGAAAATGATAAATTATTTTTAACGGGAATATTTGTATCATTTCTATAATAAGATATTTAAAAATCATATTTGTGACTTATTTGTTTCTAATGATCTTTCTAATAAAATTAAAAAAGGCATTCTATGCAGTTGAATTGATTATTGAGAAGGTAGGGGATTTTCTTAGATAACGACGCTGTTGTATGATTGAACGCTGAACGGTTTGAATTTCCCGCCATTTCAGTCATAAGGTTGCAGGTAGTAGTCACTGAAATGTGACTTCAGCATAGTTTTCATTTTAAATAAAGACATTGTAAATTGATTTATATTGTACTATTTTTAATACAATATATCAAAATTTCAAATCGTCTAAAATAATTAAGTATCTTCTATAAGAAACAGAAACACATATTTACATATGTGGAATTACTAATTCTTTATTGAATTACGTTTTAAATATGCTATATAAAATAACGTGTTATAAAAATTCTCGTATTTTGTCAACCATAAATGAGTAGCACGTTTCATAATTAATAAAATTGTTATAAATATTTTGTATCAGTCGTAACAATAATATTTTATTGTACTTTCTCAAAGCATTGCAAATTTATAATATTATATTATTTTCTTCTAAATAAATTTGTTAAAAGGGCAATACTTTAATTTATTAATATTATTATTGGAAGTCCAAAATTGCATCTTTTTAATTAAAATACATGATTTTCTTAATTTGAAGAAAAAACTTGAATGTTGCAATAAATAACAGCAAGAAGTAATAATAATAATAATAATAATGAAATATTTGCTATAAAAAAAATTGATATAAAGGAAAGTGATGTATCATAACCTACATCGTTTTAAAAAAATATAATATAACATAATAGTCTAAAGTAAGAAATATTTCATAAAGTTTCCAAATTGTAAAATTTACTATTTATTTATATTTGACCAAATACAAAGCATTGCTATATTATATTTTGCTTATTGCATATTCCATTATTTTACACAGTATTTGTAACAAAATACAATAAATCCATACCAATAAAAATACACTTCATTTGTTTATATACGCTCTAAAAAATATCTTATCTAAATAAATCCATCTAAATATTTACGATCTTACTTACGTATAAAAGTTCCATAAAAAATATTGAAAACCTTTTTAATTAGACACCGCGGTTAATAACATAAATCGAAGTAGTTATATTGATTTTATTGCAATATCGTAGAACGTTGCCGTGCGATAAAGTAACATTGTACGTTGATTTTTGTCAAGTGCTGCCAAGCACAGATAAAATATTAGTACGAATAGCGTTGATAAGCACCCATCGCACCGCGCCCATCGTGTTATTCGAGCTCTGATACGACACCACGAATAAAATTTCGGGCTTGCTCTGTTAATGCACGCAGAATTAACTATTTATCTGT